CTTAAAATTTTAGTTTTTTTTTTTGACCCCCCTTAAGAAAAAATCCTAGCTCCGCCACTGCACCAAAGCGAACTATTACTTCTTGATATGACTTTAGAGTGTCTTCTTTCTTTTTAGCAATCTCACAGAGGAAGAAGGTGGAATTCATGGGACATGAAGTCTTCACTTGGTCTGTAATACTTGTCTGGTGAGTACAAGCGTAGGTTCGAGACTTGGCTTGTGTAGAGGCATGCGAATCTCTCCACCTGTGTTTTGAAAGAAAAACCGGTTAGGGACACCAATTCCACACACAAAACATTCTGAACCGACACATAAGAAAGCAAAATAGAAAACGTTTTTATACCTGGTGGGCGAACCGGGAACTCTGGTAACCGGTTTTCATCAGTTGCCCCCAGACCTTGTGAAACTGCAGCAGCAGAGACCCACAGCATTAGCAGTTGATAACAGACTGAAACTGAAACTAGTTGTTAAACCGATACACTACATTTACCTTTTGGTGACATTCTCTTTGGGCTTGTTGATGACTTAGTCGTAATTGATCTCTTTTAGACTGTTGAATCCCACCAAAAACACAATTGTTGGACTTAGAATGACACTATGCAACTAGCGGAGATCCAGGAATTGTACAAACTATATCTTACCTCTAAGTCCTTGAGCGCTGCTAGCATTTCCTGATTATCATTCTCGCTGACATCTTCAAACCTGAAAGATATAATTTGTTAGACAGATACACAAGTTTGATTTAACAATTAAGAATTCAAATCTTATGCAACGCAGCTTTCTTTAGCTCAAATCGTAACTTAAGGAACACTCACTTTTGGGACCAGTTCAAGTGATGAATCTTGTCTTCAACTGAATCACGCTCGTTCCTCATCAGAATAAGTTGCTGCAAGTGCAAATTATCACAACTTATATGAGCGAGACCAAAAAAGATCGCGTTCATACGAAGACTTGTGTATATCTAAGAATGATAAGGTATATGAAGAGAGGATCCATTCACCTTACGCATATCCCTCAGTTCCCATAGAAGTTCAACCTCCTTTTCTAGTTCTGGAACAACAAGCATAGTTCTCCAACCTGAAGAATGAAGAAAGTTAAGCTGCAAGTAACTGGCACAAGCAAACACACTTTTACCAGTTTCTTCTAGCACCTATGAATGATACTATCTTCATCAGCAAGCAAGTATTTCTAGCCTACTTAGAGGTGTTGGGTGGCATACCATACGATATTTCTATTCACAGCGTGATTCGGTTAAACCCACTAAGATTTTTTCAAGTCAACTCACAAAACAAAACAGAAGAAAGTCTATAACAGGAAAAGAAAACCTTACCAAGTACTTTTTTGCTGCGCAAGATATCACCATATATATGATCACCAACGTAAAGAACCTAATAAGATCAAATAGCTGAATAAGTGACAAATGATGAATATTCATGGCACGGTACATCAGTTGCCATAGAGTTCTATAGAATATTCAGTTCATAATACAATGATATTTCTAATCGAGAGTAGGCAAAAATTTCTTTGAGAAGTAGCTACTGTGCAATACATGTGAACTTGACTCAATGGAGAGCAAACTGTGAAGATGCCCGACATTTCCACCTTGAAAAACTCGACAACCTTTATCTTTACTCTTCAGTAAAATTTTTGGTGAAGGATCTCCCACCTTCCAAGCAAACAAAAAATATTACAACGGATACGCAAGGATCATTTGGATAAGAAGTAGCATGTGAATGAGTGTCACAACTGGTTAAGTTAAACCTGAGGCATAGGTGTTCCATTGTCAGTGTTAATAAGCATTCCAGACTGAGGTTCCACCTCAAAAAGGTTTGCACGACTCTCTTCATGGAAGAAACCAGGTTTAGCACTTCACAAAAAAAACTCCAAATTAGAATTCAGACAGCAAACAAATGAAATTAGAGTATTCCAGGAACAAAAGTTCGTCGACAAATTCATAACCACTAGATTAAAGAGACTTGGAAAAGAAAAAGACCTGCCAGTGATCACAACATCAAAATACTGGAGCCAATCAAAGTTGCAAGTATGAGGACCATGAACTGTGCGGCCTCCACAGAGAAAATTCATCACAATATTTGTGTAGTCCCACAAACTGCAAGAACGTCATTTGAAAGTTTCTCTCAACAACATAGATAATACAGAAACAGTGAGAAATAGCTAAGGATAGTCACAGATGTTTTCCTTTCGCATCTTCCTAAGTTATTACTATGTTAAAAGTCAGAGCTAAATCTAACTGCACAGCTACAAAAGCAATATATGTATATAAACAACTTTATGGGAACACTTTGAAGTTAGTAGAGAATGTCGTCAGCGTTACCTATTGGTCACCAAGAATGTCGAACGTCCAGAATCTCTTATCATTTTTATAAGGGGTACAATCGTGGTATCCTCATTGATATACCTGGTAAAAATGGCAAGTTGAAAAAAGTATTATGGAGAGAGTCTAAATCACTAATCACTTTTAAGGGGTGCTTGGGAAACTTGCAAAGAACAATAATTGAGCAGACCATCAGCCTTACCTATGAGGTTCTTTTGCCACCATCTGCTTTAAAGTTCCGTCTCGGTGGCACAAATCAACAGCAGCTCGAACATCTTTATACATGCGAGCATAACTAAAAGAACACCATTGAAAGAGGAATAAATTAGTGATACGTTTTCAAGAAATTGTCCTGCGAAGTAAAAGTTACAAAAAAAACTGTCTTGGAAGTTATAAAGAGTATCAAACAGTAATAAATATGGGAGATTGTCTTACTCGATGTCCTTGGAAATTTTTTCTGGGTTACTATCTTTAAAGTCCACGAGTTGCGCAAAGAGATAGGCTTCGGCCAAAGAAAAGAGGGTATCTATGAGGGCGTAGTCCGGCTCATCATAAGAATCTCGTATTAGGCTGCTGCCATAAATGTCAGTTTTGTCTTCCTTAGAGAGCTCCCTAAACCCATGGTAGGCTACTTTCACATACTTATGGCGGTCCATCTGTATGGTAAACAGCCAATTAGACAACAGGCAGCAATTACTATAAGAGTCAAATACAAGGTACTCACCTTTAAGATGTTTCCCCTCTTTTTGTCTAGCACCAAGCCTCTAACCATGTAATTCCAATCAAATGTCCACTCGAGCAGCTGGAATGTTTTTACCACAGTAAGTATAACGCTCAACCAAACTTTCCTGCTGGTGGCAAACTTAAAACAGAAAATCATATACTAACCTCACTCGGATACCCCAAATCATATACCAATTTCCTGACAGTTCCATCATAAGCAAGGGACTCAAAAGTTTCAGACTTGTATTGGGCAAGAGTGTAGTCCATATCAAACCCCACAGCAATGATATTTCTCATATTCAACGATCTATTGCAGAAGATCTGTTTGCTGATATCAATTTTCTTCCCCGCTCCTGGCGAGGACCATTTATGTGGAGCTTCACATCCATCCTTAGATCCCAGACTGTGAAACTGTACCACATTTTCACTCAGAGCACTAGCTTGCTGTTCTTCCATCGAACTCGTAAAACAAAGCCGGCTTGCTCCTGAGGGTTTATAATGTTAAGAAAGCATCATTTTTTCTTTTCTATAACATACATGAAACACACGAACATATATCCAACTAGCAGAGAAAATTGTACAAGATCTATCTAGCAAAAAGACAACAATAATATTTAAAATCAATCTCGGAAGACGCAACTGGTTAGTCAGAACCCACCAAGGCTAAATTTAGAAGCACGGAAGAAGATGATACTACCTGATGACACGTTTTCCTACTAGTTAACACTAGTCAATACAAGTCAATACGACCATAAAGCTCTGCTGAGCAACATGATCCACTAGCACAGCAAAAAAAACAAACCCCTAGAATAAAAAAACAAACCTATCATCTTACCTCGATCAAAAGACCAAAGCGTGCACCACGTTAGTCCTGATCCTAAAGTTTCTTCCAAGGTATGCTCCAGGCAACACCTAGAAATCGCAACTTCCACGAATTAAAGATGCAAGATACCTACTAATTAGCTCATCTCCCTTCCCGATCCAAGTTTCACTAAGAACAACTCTGATTTCCCGAAAACACTAATAGCACTAGGCTACTACTAGAAATCAGCTATGTGATACCAAACACAGACCCACAGTTAATCAACCAAGTAGAAAAATCTACACAACGAAATTTTTAATGGAAATCAGTCACAGAGACGTCACTGAACATGCAATTAAGATGACTAATCTACCACGAAAAGCTAGATAACACAACGCAACAGTTTACAAACAAAAAATCCAAGTAGTAGAAGAAGAGGACGAACCAGCCGAGTGAAGGAATTCTCTTCGCGCTTGTAATTTTCCAGGGAAACGAGAACCGTGAGAGAACACAGAGATGCAGAGAGAGAGAGGGAGAGAGAAATGACGCTTAGAGAGACGCATAGTGGATAAGGTATTATATAGGCATGGAAGAGGAGGAGACGAATCGTATTCCAGAGAGAGGAGAATACTGGGTGCAAAACAGCTTGGAAATGTCGCCGAAAAAGCAGGATTCGAAAAGCAGCACTGAGACATTTACCGGAAATTCGCCGGCGAATATTCCCTCCGTCTCAATTGCATTTACTTTTTTTATTTTCCCTTTTCGCTCTCTCTCGGCGGAAGTAGGGAGGGAAACGAGGTGTTGCTGCGGAAGAAAAGAGATCCCAAAGAAGAAGTGCCACGTGTCTAATAGGATCGGTAGAGTACACTGACTGTGATGGATTTAATCGTCAATGTCAAAAAAATTGCGTGGTTGTGGCTGTTTTATAGCTTTCTCATCTATATGGGCTCTAAACCTAAATTTAATGGGCCTTATATTGAAGCCCATTTCTCAAACCTCGTAACCTCTCTTTCCGTCTTCCCCATTTCTCCGTTAAGCGCCACACTTCCCTCTTCCCAACAACCGATCTCGGTTCATAGATTCGCGTAAACACCACGCGCCGCCGGGGTAATCTGAAATCGTGACCATTGAGCTCAAGTCATGGCTGCGTCTTCCTCCTTACGTGCTCGACTAGCTTTCGTCGTTTTACTCTCAGCGACTACCTTTTACTGTATCCACAAATATCGCCGATTGAAACGCATCAAAAACCTCTCCTTAAACCCTAGCAACCTCACCTCGAAAGCCAGCAGAGGAAAGATCTTCTTCATCTCCCAAACCGGAACAGCGAAAGCCTTAGCGCAACGGCTTCACGAGCTCTTCGCAGCTAACGACATCGCGTTTGATCTCGTCGATCCACGGAGCTACGAGCCAGAGGATCTCCCCAAGGAGTCTCTGGTTATCTTCATCGCGTCGACATGGGACGGCGGGAAACCGCCTCAGAACGGAGAGTTTCTCGTGAACTGGCTCTCCGAGAGCGCCGAGGATTTCCGAGTCGGCTCGCTTCTTCTCTCCGATTGCAAATTCGCCGTGTTCGGCGTCGGGAGCCGTGCGTATGGCGAATCGTATAACGCCGTGGCGAAGGAATTGTCGAGTCGGATGGTGGGATTGGGTGGACTCGAGATGATTCCGGTGGGAGAAGGCGACGTCGATGACGGAGAATTAGACGGTGCATTTGAGGAGTGGTCTGCTGGAGTGATTAAAGCTCTGAAGGGAGACTCCGAGCTAGAAACAAATTTGGTTTTGCAGAATGGTGATGTTGAGAATGATGACGAATATGTCGATACAACAGATGATGATGAAGATGACGATAATGGGGAGGCGGATATTGTTGATCTCGAAGATATTGCTGGAAAAGCTCCTTCAAGGAAAAACGGCGTAGTGAAAGTGGCTAAAGGTGATGGAAAGAAGGAAATGGTGACTCCTGTGATCAGAGCAAGCTTAACGAAGCAGGTAATTTCTTGATTTGCTTGAACTCCACAGTCGTATTCAAGCTGATTCTCCGGATCTTGTTTGCATTTTCTTGCATCTTTGATATAATTGCTGAAGTTCTTTTTGGAACTTGCAGGGGTATAAGATCATTGGTTCGCATAGTGGAGTTAAGATATGTAGATGGACTAAGTCACAACTTAGAGGCAGGGGAGGTTGCTACAAGCACTCATTCTATGGCATTGAGAGTCACAGGTTTGATTGAAAACTCTGTTTTTCTTTTGTTCTCCTCTAGCTTTGTGCTTATAGGATGTGATTCTTATGCTAACTTATTGTAATTTTGGTTTTCGAATAACCAAGATGTATGGAGACGACACCTAGTTTGGCTTGTGCAAACAAATGTGTCTTTTGTTGGAGGCATCACACGAATCCAGTGGGAAAGAGCTGGCAGTGGAAGATGGACGATCCTAAGGAGATTGTGAAAGGTGCTCTAGATCTTCATACAAAGATGATTAAGCAAATGAAAGGAGTTCCAGGTTCGTTTATATCTCACTCAGGTCTCTCATAGTTTATGAATGTCTGTGCATCAAGTTGGAATATATAGAACCTATTTAGAAATCTCATAGTTTAAGAAACTGAATGTCATGTATCTTGGTTCTCCATATCTTAGACCTTTGCATCAGATTGACCACAGAATGCCTTACGCTATGCGTTTTTGTTTATTTGATTGATTTGTTCCCACCAGTTATGCTGATGTGTTTATTGGCTGGCTGTGTTTTCTTCCAGGTGTAACTCAAGAGAAGTTAGAAGAAGGACTAAACCCAAGACATTGTGCACTATCACTTGTTGGCGAGCCGATTATGTATCCGGAGATCAATGCCCTTGTAGATGAGCTGCATGGGAAGCGTATTTCTACATTTTTGGTTACTAATGCACAATTCCCCGAAAAGATTTTGAATATGAAGCCTATCACCCAGGTATCTGTTTTGTACATGTTTTTTCCAGCTCTTCATGCACTTAGCGGAACCAAATTGCCTAACTCGTTATCGTTGATATCTACAGTTGTACGTAAGTGTAGATGCTGCCACAAAAGAGAGCTTGAAGGCTATTGATAGGCCTCTCTTTGCAGATTTCTGGGAGCGGTTTATTGTGAGTATTTTAAAATAACCTTCTTTATAAACCTTTGAATTGAGAATGTTAATTAATAATCTCTGCTTCATCTGTATTATCGTAGGACTCCTTGAAAGCTCTCCAGGAGAAGCAGCAGCGAACCGTCTACCGATTAACACTTGTCAAAGGATGGAACACAGAGGAGCTAGATGCTTACTTCAATCTCTTCAGCATTGGCAAACCTGATTTCATCGAGATCAAAGGCGTCACATATTGCGGATCGTGAGTGTTATGTTCTTCCACTTGTTCTCCTCTCCGCACTTTCTCTACTCGTGTTACACACTTATGGTTTTCTTCTGGTGACGAACAAAAACAGATCTGCAACATCGAAGCTGACAATGGAGAACGTACCATGGCACGCGGATGTTAAAGCGTTCTCAGAAGCTCTGTCTCTGAAGAGCGAAGGAGAGTACGAGGTTGCTTGCGAGCACGCCCATTCGTGCTGTGTTCTTCTAGGGAGGACCCAGAAGTTCAAAAAGAATGGGAAGTGGTTCACTTGGATCGACTATGAAAAGTTCCACGATCTGGTTAGTTAGTTAAACCAAACCCAAAAACCAATCTCGAAATCAAGATTCATGCTAATTTTTGACATTGCATTATGAATGAATTTGCGTAGGTGGCATCTGGAGAACCGTTCACGAGCACAGACTATATGGCTGAGACACCATCATGGGCTGTGTATGGAGCAGAGGAAGGTGGTTTTGATCCAGAGCAGTTGCGTTACAAGAAGGAAAGGCATCATCACCCTAAACCACAACCACAGCCACAGCCACAGGCGGTTTTAGCTTAAAGAAAGGACTAAACCCAAAGTCATTTTATTATAACATCCTTTAAATCTTCTCTTTCTAGATTTAAAGCTTTTGTTTTTTTGGTATGTTAACAGTGTTCACTCTTGTTATGTTGGAATCGGTATCAAACTTTACAATGTTCAAGTTTTTTAAAATTTTGATATGTTTCGTTTGAAGATGATTTTGCACGTGAAGCCTTACTTGCGGTCCCAAAAGTGTCTTGTACGAAAGTACTATCGCATCTTCTCATCGAATTTTAGAGTCTGTTTCTCACTAGTCCGACTTGATTTTTTATTTGCCTTCTTTCTACATTCTCTACGCCGATTGATTAGTTAATTACAGCAACTAGACAGCTTTTTGAGTGATTATAATAGTAGACGAGTTGTTGTTTCACAGGCAAATATCCATTAGTTTCTTTAACTTATCCGTTTCACCATGTGCGATGCATTCTTTTATTTTACTTTTTTTCCATCGTTAATAAATCCGAAAGGGACGTAACCAACACAAAACCAAAAATTAAACAACCTACTACAACTAATACACTTTAGAGCATTCATGCTAAACTTATAATTTTTGTTTTATCTCATTGCCATAAATGTAATAATGTTTCCTCACTGAAAATAGCTTTTGATGCAACCCAAAATATGACACTGAGATTGGCAAAACTTGTTTCTTGTTTTGAACTAACAGATGCAAGAAATGATAACTTAATGGTCTTTTTTCTCCCATGAGGGTTTTTAATTAATCCAAGAACGCACACAAAAACAAAACTCCATTGATATGGTAAATAAAAATTTACCAGCTTTTAACCGGCGTGCTTTTCCTCCTCGACCGTCTTGATGACGGCTGAGCCACCGTCTTCACTGTCGTCATTTCCGGCTTCTTCTCCTCCTCATCCTCCTCTAATTTTTCATGTTTCCACTTTTGCCCTTCTTCCACACTACTACTACTACTCCTAACTTTTTTCTTCTGTTTCTCTCTGTTAGTAATCTCAACCTCTTCGTCTTCTTCTTCTTCTTCTTCTTCTTCGTACTCCTCGAAATCTTCGTCTTCTTCAGATTCTTCCTTCTTGAAGTCTTCTGGATTCTCAAGATTCTTCCTTGGCCTTCCTCTTCGTCTTCTTGTCGTCTGAGACTCTGACGGAGGTGAAGCTTCCGCTACCGTCGTTTCTTTTGCTCTCTGAAACCTTCTCTTCCCCATCAGCTTAGTTTTTTTCAACAGAAGATAACTTTTTGGAACAGCTTTTATGTTTTTTCAAAAAATATCTTCAAGTGAGCAATAAATTTTTCTCACGTTCTTTTGTTTTTAATGTTTTACAGTCAGAAACAAAAAGACAACAGTCTTTAAAATAAAAAGTCACCCACTCTTTGATGATAAAGATAAAATCTCTGAACAAAAAGTAGATTTTATTTTTGTCCGTTGGTTTTCTTTTCTATTATCCACCAATATAATACATGTGTGACATATATACAGTATACACGAATGTAATAATATTATTGTATAGAGTATACTTCTATCCATACGTTATACAAGTTTGCATCAAATATTTAATTTGCAAGTTAGGAAGAATTAGAATTTGTATATAGTGATTTGCAAGATTATCTTAAACAGAAAAACGGCACGACGTTCACTATTCATCAAGGAAAGTTAAACAGGGCGTAAAGAAATCTAAAAGCCCAACAAGGCCCAACAACGTACCGTGTTTAAAAACTGACAAGAGAATGCACGTCGTTTTCTACGAAAGCGACCGACACGGTGTGTGTGTCGTAACCAGCGAAATGGTTTTGGTCCTGAACAGAGGATAAGGATCACTCATCATCACGTGATCAAAAGTCAGAAAGAGCCCATCTTCTTTACTTCTTCTTCTCTCCTCCTCTCCGTTGGATCATAATACCAACAAAGACAATTCTCAATCCTTCCCATCACTCTTTCTGATTTCTTCTGATTTTATTGAGAATTCACCAAATACGATAAAGACAAAACTCATTTCCGTTTTTTTTTATTCTTCGAAAACGGACAAATCCTTTTTGCTGTAAATATCAATAGAGATTGAGCTCTCAATATATCAAAAAGCTACTGATCTAGGAGGGATCTAAATTAAATCCTACTTGGCTAAAGTAATTTTCTATTTTTGTTTTTTATTTTCTGTGTTTAGTTTTTATTTTTGGGAGACGAAGACAGGAAGGTTAATAATAAACCAACCACTAGTTGTGCAAAAAATCGAAAATCATCATATTAAGTGGGTTTGTGGATGGAACATCTTCTTGGTGAGCTTCTTTTTTTTCTTCTCTCCTTTCGTTTCTGCGGATTTTTCTGAGTTTTTTTTGTTAAAAATCTGAATTTTTGTTTTCTTTTCTTTAAAGGTAGTTCCTTTGTGATAGAACAATAGTTTCACATTTTCTTTCTCACCTCTGCGTCTCTAAATAGAACATTGGCGCTGAAAGTTTGTTAATTTTCTCCCCGGAGATTTGATTCTGCATCTGTAGTTTTTTTTAAATTTCTTTGACCATCTCTCTGTTTTAGGGGAGTATGTAAAAAAGTTTGAATCTTTGACATTCTTTCTTTCAAATTTAGCGATTTATAGTTATGATGTTTCCTTTTAGAAATCTCCCATTTTGGGGATGAATGATTCTTTTCTTCTCATTTTGGTTTCTGTTTCTCATTTCCTTAAAAGAGAGAACTTTTTGTTCCTCAAATCTCTGTTTTTTAAGATTTCTTTCTTCTCAAATTCAGGCAAAAAGGCTATTGCTTTCGGTTTGTGATTCTCACGTTATTCTCATTGATTCCAAATTTTCAGCAGCAAAGTCGGAATTGCAATTCCAAATCCAACACAAACGTGACTCAGATGCTAATGTTCCGATTCAGTGAGAGATAAAAATCGATTCTTTGGTTCTTGACAATGGCGGAATCTTACGAGACACGCAACAATGGAGTCAGATATCACAATTCCAGAATATCATCATCGTCATCATCGACATCATCAACAACATCGTTATCATCGCCATTGCTGGATTTGAGAGTGTTCTATGTGAGAATCAGCAATTTCAAAGTGGACGATTCAACACCTGAAGTCCTCACAATCACTCACACACCTCTGGATCCAGATTCTCTCCTGGAGATAAACGGTGTGCGAATGAGCATTTACTCTGAAGGAGTCGCTACTTCTCAGCTAAGGAAAGATCGTGTTGATAAGAAATCTGAAGTAGCTACCTTCATCAGCACAGACAACATCAGATTATCAGGTAGTGTGAAGTTCGAGGTCTATGACAGAGACGACCTTGTTCTGTCTGGAACGATTGAGATGTCTGGTAGCAATGGCTTCACCTCCGGTGGTGAGTCTAAGCATAGCGTGAAGCGTTGGAGTATGAACTGTGAAGCTGAGATCACTGCTGGTTCTGGTTTCTTGAAGGAGAAGCATATTGGTTGCTCGGAGTTATCATCATCATCATCATCTCCGTTGCCGAGTATTGAAGTCTATGTCACTGGTTGCTTCTCTGGAACACCTATTATCTTGACCAAGACGCTACAGCTTGGTTTTAGGAAGAAGCAGAGTAGAGGGAATGCGTTGGATTCGATTCCCGAGTATGAAACCGGTGAGCCTCTTAAAGGAGACTCATCTGAGCTTGATTTTCAGGTAACTTTCGCTGTTTCAAGATTATTTACAATGAATAATTCGTAATAAATTTTATATTGGTTTGTGTCCAACTTGATTACATTGAATGTTATACCTAGGATATGAGTCTTGTTGATCATGCATTGATTTTTTCATGGTGTTGAGAAATGAGAATTCATATCATGAGACATGTTTCTTGGTACTTTTAGGAAGATAATTCCTTAGATATTTAAGTGGACCAACTTCGTGATAAATGATCATGTGAGGTATGGGGCCATTTTACAAGTGGCAGTAGATATCTCTCAGTCTTTCTCATAACACACACACACACACTCTCTCTCTCCCATTTGCCTATTGTCTTGTGAGCTTAATATATTAACGCTTATCCTCCAGTCTGCTACAGTCAGTTCTTGTGTGACCCATTAGCTGAAATATAATGGTATTTTAAACGTAATACCACAGTATATCATCTTTTATTTATGTATAAACCTATTCAAGAAAACTTGAAGAGTCAATGTTGAGATTAGCTCATGCCTTGAGCTTTATTTGGAGGTTCTTGTAGTTGTTGTCATTGTCCCTTTAACTATATTGCAATATGTATAACTTCCACTTAAAAGTCATGGAGGTGTAGAGACCAAATGAGATACATTCGTCAGATTTTTAGATTGTAACCACAAACACCATTAGCCTCTATTCTACAAATGATTGAATGACCATTGTATTCTCTATTTGACTATCTCTAAAACTGTCTCTTACTTATTTTTCGTTTTGAGAAAGACATGTACATACACGGATCTCTCTGTTGCTGAGTTCTTTACACTTTTCCCTGTGCAGGTAACAGAATACGGAAGATACAAACAAGACTATGATGGAGAATACGGCGACATGTATATGAGAAGAGAGTATGCAGATGGTGAAGATGGAGAGATGTCATGGTTCAACGCCGGTGTGAGGGTTGGAGTGGGAATTGGTCTCGGTGTCTGTGTAGGTCTTGGCATTGGGGTTGGCCTTTTGGTTCGTACTTATCAATCCACCACTAGGAACTTCAGAAGAAGACTTATCTAGCTTCTCACAGATTGGCTCGAGCTTCTTCTGCTTATCTCCCTCTCTCTCTAACTCTTTTGACTGCAGAACTCAAAAGCTATGTAGCCTAATAGCTAAATACTGCTGTGTAGTATGATCTTAAGATCTTTCTTCATGTGTTTGTTTTCCTCTCTCTTTGTGCCTTAAAATTTTGAAAGAAATCATTCTCTCTTCTTCTTGTGTGTTGTTGAGATTCAAACTGAAAGAAAACAAAGCTTGTTGCTGGTTAATGTGAATCTTTTGTGTCACTTCCTGTAAATAAATGCTTATGAGTGTATAAAAGTTTTTGGATTCACTTATAAACTCAAAATCCTCTTATTCAATCATTGTCTTGTCTAAATCTTACAACCTCAAGCTACAATTACCCCATTTCAAAAAGGGTTTCATTGCCTTACAAAACAGTCAAGGGTTGGTTTGGATTGGCTCAGGAGCAATCTCTGCTCCAGAGAACCCATTGTTACTCTCAACCAACAATCCCCAGTAGTTTGCAGTTTTAACTTCGTCTTGGTTCATCTGCTTGGAGAACTCTTCATGGTTATACTGCAACAAAGCTTCCCCTCCAAACTCCGTTGGGAGATTCTCCTCGTCGAAAAACGAACTCATCAGCTCCACGCTCTCTTGGTTCTTTGGGTACACAAACTTCACCTTGGAGAATGTCTTTGCATCCACAAAGTACTTCACAATCTGTGGAAACCACACAGAAGCAGAACAAATGAGATTTACGTTCATGAACATAGAAGAACAAAGACACTTGAAACTATCTTTAAAACCAACCTTCCAAAATGCTTCAAAGAGCCTTGGAGGATTGTAGAGGAAAGCAACAGCTAATCTCTCAGGGTAATGATTCTGAAGTATATTGATAGTTTCTCTAGCAGACTTAATAGGAACACTTGTGCTCAGTGTCCAGTCAGTGAAATCAATAAGCCAACACATCTGTTCTTGATCCTCTGGCAGATTCAGAATTGCATTCTCAAGTAGATACACCAAATGTTTCATCTGATCGTCTAAGGACTTTGTGTTCTGCAAGCCAGGTCTCATGATAAGCACTGTTCTTCCACTTCTGTCATGGAATCCAGCTTTGTAGATTTTCCCAGTCTCACCTTCTCCTGAAACATCATTCTAGTAGAAAAGCAAAAGCCTTAAACATCATTCTAGTAGTAAATTCACCGAAAGGATTTCACTTTTTGACACACTTACCCATCTGATCTCCTCAGGTTTGAAAGTGGATCTCCATTTGAGAGTCTCCTCAAGCATCTTCTTGGCTTTGGTTACATTCCAACTCCTAGCTTCTAGATATCTCTTGAGGCATGCATCTGAGCAATATAGTGAGCTTCTTCCAGAGAGCTGACCTATGAGAGCTTTAAGCTCTTTGATCTGGAACCATCAAGATCAGTAAAAAGTTACCTTCAACGAAATCGTAATTAAGTGAGAAATCAGTAGAAATCAATTACCTTTGCGTCGTTAATCTCTTGTTCGGTTTGCGTGGAAGTCTTGCGACGAAACATTTTTTGAATAGCAGTATCAAAAAATCTACTACTCTGTAAAAATTTACCACAATGAATAAGCAAAATATAGATTACAGGCTAATACTAAGGATTGTCCGTTAAATCCAAAGTTGAAGTCATGTAATAGAAGCAACATGTAATGGACACTATTTAAGGTTCTCATGTAATTCAAGTGAGTGAAGTCACAGACGAAGAAGCATGACTCAGCTACCTAATGCCACACAAAAAGTCAACACCCTAAGAATTTCTTGCAAGCAAACAGATTAACCAACGAGAGAAAGGTGAAAAGGCAAAACTTTAGGCTGAAGAACAAGGTTTTGTGTTGTGTAGTTGTTCAAGATCTAACTAATTTCCGAAAACTAGACAACAGATGGATTCTTGATGAGCTCATTACAAATCCGAAATAATCGACTATCACATTTCTATACATAACAGAGTTTAATCGAAAATTTCCGTTACAATTCACAAACTGCAAAGACCGAAACTTTAAAGACGAAAGGAGGAAAAAAGAGCGAACCCAATGGGAGCAAGAAGAGAGAGAGAGAGGTCTTCGTGGAGAAGAGAGTCAGATGAAGAAGAAAGTGATGAAAAACGGAGAAGGTGCGAGAAAAAGTAAAGGTTTTTCACCTAAACTCTTGCAGACAAAACAAATGGAGAGACAAGACACAAATATCTCCGTCACGTGCGCTTCACGTGGTTACCTGAGAAATAAATACTTATTTATTTAATTTTTTGCCTCGTTAAGTCAATTGCAAAATTGAAAAGTTACCTCTTTGGAAGTTTCAAAGCCTACCACGTGTCGCCTATCACAGACACACCAACACAACTATGTCTTTTTTCTCGAGGGCGAATATATTCATTCCAATTTCATATAAATTTATTTATTGGTATACCATCAGAACACGTAGAAAAGTTATGATTCATGAACCACAAATACATTTTGTCACACTCAGATTTCATTCACATTGTAGCGAAATCCGAAGATATAAACACACATAAAGTGATAAAGCCAATGCACAAAAGTCTGAAATGCGTGATGAACTTTAACACATCTCTCTCCAATATGCTACCAAGTCTTGACACTTGAAAGCACCATTTTCTTTGGAATTTTCAATCTTACAAATATAAGTTCATAAACCTTGTCCATTTACACACCATTTTCAATTAGCCTCGCTATAATCGTTTACTAGATTTCACAAACCATATGAGAAGGCGAGTTTCACCATTTTTTATTACACAATTCCATTACTCAAGGTCAAAGGGTTCAATTCAAGTTGTGTATGTCAGTGATTAGATTGATCAACTCTTTGTAATTTCTGTTCTTCCAAAATAGTGACAATTTGAATATCAATTCGTAATCATTACCATCAAAACATTATCATATCAGAATTGTCATGTTACAACCATCATCATCACAGAATCATTACCATGACCATATTTTTATATTCCTAGCATCATCACTAAGTATTAACATATATCATAACAGATTATAGATGAATAATCAAAGAATGAAAGAAGCTACCAAATTGCAGCAATTAATTCTACTGAATATCTCATTATTGATTGATCGAGTGAAACTCAAGATAACAAAATCACTCAAAATCCCAAAATTTCTACATTAACACATTCGATTCTTAAAGAACTTTTCAGGAATTGAGCATCACAATAATAATAATCGGAGATCATTTGTCAAACACAGTGATAGATAGTATATTATCAGTCTCTTCAAATCAAACCCAAACCTGATGATGTTCTTAACGACAAAGATTCCACAGAGTAAACAAAGAAATCGACTCTCAAAACCTGAGCTGACCAATCAACGTTGCTGGCTGAAGAGAGATCGGCTCACAATTGCAGTAGCTTCCATGTAACGATCGACGCATCTAGAGATGCAGCTACTCTCGCCACTGCCGAGGCTTGATCCCGGTTTGGTTATGCACTTGTCGAAGCATTTTCCTCTGAGAGTCTCGATGAACTCCTCCGCGTAAGCTTGATTGAGCTGAGCTTGCACCTGTTGCATCACTGCTTCCGGAGATTTCGAGCCCATAGACGGCGATGGTGATGAGTAGTCCATTTAATTACCCACTAACAAATCCAAAACCGTGAAGAAGAAGAAAATCAATAAATTAAACTTGACTGAATAGTAGATGAAATCAATCGATGTTCAATTAACACCAGAGAAACCAAAATTACATTACCGGAAAGTGATGAGAGCGACGACGAAGACGATTGCGGAGGATATTAGCGATCGGTTGTTCTCGAAGATGAGGAGACGATTTCCAATTTTTCTTTTGGGTATGTCTAGGGTTTCGCTTACTAAAATTGTTTAAATGGGCCAGATAATAAAAGATTTGGCCCATTAGGTTGTAAGAAAACAAAAGAGTATAAACACAAACCTACGAAAGTTTGATTTAAATTGTGTTGATTGGGAAGAAGGCTTTGATAACTGGATGATGATTTAGCATTCTCATCTATTTTCACTAGCATGGAGCTAAAATATGAAATGCATAGAGAAACAATGTTGTTTCAAATCGACTTTTTTCAAGAATATGATGTTTTTAAAGAACTTTTAGGTAACAAGCCAAGAATAAATCAATGATGAATTTCCTCACATAAGATCAAGACTAATCTGTTTTTTCCTATCATAGCGTCTCTTTTTAAAATGGGTATCCATGATATTTCTTTTTTTAACTAAGTGAGTTATTTCCAATGATTTAGAGATTAGGATTTATGATTTTCCAGTGAATTCACTAATCTTTGACTATGATCTAATATTCAGGATTTAGGATTTAGGAATTAGAATTTATAATTTATAATTTTTCCATATGGATTGATTGGTAAGGAGTGACTTCTTTTCGTGAACAAATTTTGACTTCTTTCAATGAAAAAAAAAAGGTTTTATAATATTAAATCATGATTGTTATCGAAACTTAAAGGTATTTTTCTAGGGTTTTGATTTTGTTGGATTTAACTGTTTTAATATCCCGGATATTTTAATATATGGCTCATTTTGGTAGGTAAGAGTGTATTTAGTTTATTTTTAAACTACATAATACTAAATAGCAACAAATTTATCAAAATTTACCAAAAAAAATAACTTCATTTTAGAGATAAAACTGAAGTGGCCAATTATAAATATCGACTTGACTTGTTCGAATAGAAAGATTGCGTAACATGATAAGCTAAGAAGAAATCAATATATCATGTCACAAAAAGGATTCTATTAAACTATATACTTATATTGGAGTAATTGAATAATTAATGTTGAAAAATAAAATAAATAGACGTGACTAAATTGGTTTTGAATTCTTTCAACATGTTGAAAAGAAAAAAATCACAAACCACAATAATAATAACGTGACACATACTCAAAATAGAGGTGGGGCAATTATTGTACACGATCTGGAAACTAGCATGAACAGACTCACAAAGAAAAATAATTATAAATTAAAAAGTGTGTTTGTTTTCTATTGATCCCGACTTGCCTTATTTGGATATAGAGTTAATACTTGCTTTGTTTGAATAGAGAGTTTATAGACAACTCACATGATTAACAAGAGCATACTTCCACGAGTTGATTTCCTCTTGATAGCTATTAATGTTGCTTAGGAGAATCATCAATCTTTCCTTGCTGGCCTTTAGGGACTCAAAGCTCTTAATCATAGAATTATAAACAGACGTAAGTTCCCCTGAAAATTCTACACGACTAATCTTGTGGTGTCGTATCTGTTCATCCTGCAATTAAACATACATTAATTAGATTACATATATACATTATTTTGCAATCAAACATACATTAGTTAGATTACATGCAATTTTGCAATTAAACATACATTAGTTAGATTATTAAACATACATTGGTGTAATTTTGCAACTTTTTTTTTTACATATATAACTAAAGCTTTTCGGATATTTCAAAGTACTTAGATTATTTCGGCATAGATATAACTAATATATTCAGTTTATAATTGTAATTTTAGGTATTTTATTTATTTTAAATCTCCAAAAATCTATATATTTTAATAATTTATTTTATCAAACTATTATTTATTTATTTCAAAAATATACTCCTTCCGTTTCAAATTAGTTGTTGTTTTGGCAAAATGTATCTGCAGATATTTGGACGTATCTGCAATGCAAAACATATCCAGATACGTCCAAAATATTTGCAGATACATTTTGTCAAAACGACAACTAATTTGAAACGAATGAAGTATATTTTTGTTTATTAATATAACTAGGCAAATATTTTATTATTCTGTTACACAAATAATTTGTAAGGTAGTTATTCCACATTAAGCAAGATTTAGTTGTTACTATTTATGTAATTATGTTATTAATCAACCAGATTCAACTATTCATCATTTAATTTCGCTAAATTCTCCATTCAGCAAAATTCTTCAGTTATCATTTAAACCCTCGCTAATGTTGATCTACGGAAAACAAACAAATTAAGATCTTTTACTCCATTTTGAGTGAGTTTCAGATCATTAATTTTCTCCATTTTCGTCAAATTAAATTTGAAACTTATTTGTAACTCATTAAAGTCCACCATACACTCGCGCATCAGGCGCGAGCAATCCACTAGTTATAAATTAAAAAGTGTGTTTGTTTTCTATTGACCACTGCAATGTTTCATAATCCCGACTTGCCTTGTTTGGATATAGAGTTAATACTTGCCTTGTTTGGATACTTGCCTTGTTTGAATAGAGAGTTTATTCTAATCAATGTTTCATTAATAAGATCTAAGTGGAAAAACTCTTTGTTATCTTCAAAATTTGGAGCAAATCTTCTTTGATCTCTCGACATTACAACCAAAGTTTGTTAAAAACTAGATAATACTTATAGCAGCAAATTTATCAAAATTTACCCCAAAAATAAAATTCATGTGAGACAAAATTGAAGAGGAGAATTCTAAATATCTGAGTTGTTTGAATAGAATGACTAGGTAACATGTTAAGCTAGATACATCATATATTCATATGTAACAAAATAAAAAGCATAAATAGGATTGCATTAGACAGCAATAAACGAAAATTCGAAAGAGTGGCTTACAAAGAAGAAAAAAACTTGTAAACAAAAAAAACGAAAACAAGTAAAGTCTTAATCAAAATCCTGGCAAATATGAGAGGTCAGCGATTCCAGTGGGAAGGCTGGCAATGTTGTTGAGAAGAGCGAGTCTGTTCTTCCTCACTCTTTCTTCCTCCTGCAACAACAACAAGTAAGATTCAACAAATTAAGCTCTCTTATTAAATCCTCGAGCACAAAAACGTGAACAAAGTTTTCAACTTACCACCATGACGAACACATTGTTGAAGAAATCCTCGAGCGGCTCCACCAACTGCATGGATATCTCAGTGAACTCCTCGATTTCAGTCCCTGAAAAATTTGGAAACCAGTGAGATAAATTACTTTGTTTTACTGAGAGAGGGAGAGAGAGAGTCCAGTAGAGAAAGAATGTAGAGCGTACCAGTGTGAATTCGATCTTTGATAGAGGTGTAAGTGCTCCACAATTCTTTCTCTTGAGAAGTCTCAAATGCACTCTCATCCACCTGATTGCATCATTCAAATGTAAGAAGCTGTGCCAAAGTTTCACAGATGCTCTTTTCCCATTTGATCAAGACAAGAAACATCACGTACCTCAACTCCAACATCAACATCTTTCCCACGGACAATACGTGTGGGACGAGAATATGCTTCCACAATCTTCGGAAACATATCACCTTTGCTTAGCTTTTCCATCTGCGTGCGCATCAGCTATGTTAGCTTCTTATGAGCAAAAGTCATTATTCAATGAAAATCGAGAAATACGGTCCTAAACTAGGCTTAATCCAATCGCCATAATACATGGCTTGTAGGAGAATGATGCCCACATGCTTCTCAACTATTACATAATCCCATATCCAATCGCTATTGGATCATATCAGTTACCTTGTATGCAGTTCGTGCTGCCAGACAAGGATCGTTTCCACGCTCTGCTAGGACAGACCTAACCACTTCAGGGCTTACTCCGTTGTCAACCTGTGAAAAGGATAGAACGTTGTGTCAAGAACCGGACACTAAGGTCCTTAGTTTAAAGAGAGCCAAGGAATTGGTGTAGAAAGAAAGCAAAAAGATAAGCATCATGAAAGTTGTACGAACCAGAAGCTGTTCCAGTCTTCGTGTAACAAATTGATACACCTAGAAACAATAGAACAGTTACTTATACCAAGAACGGTTTCAGATGATAGCTTACAACCTGTAAATGAAAAATAATATGAAGAGTTAATTATGGGAAAACTTGATACTCACATCTTCTAAAGTGTTTGCCTCAACTTTCATCGGTTGTACACTGGCTGCAAGTTCTAGAACATGTTTGAAGTTGACATTTTTATCCTTCTCGACCAAAATCTGAACCTGTGGCATACGAAGTATTGCTTGGCATCAATAAGCTGCTCATGCAACCATAAAATGACAAAACATTATCAGAATATCTATAAACTTACCAAGGCATAAGATATTCTTCTAAGGCCAAATGGGTCATTTGTTGAGCTTGGCTGGCAACCAGCAGCAAATAGACCAACAAGGCTGTCCAATCTACGGTTATAGAAACAAGCGGTGGTGTAAGTATCTAGGAAAACATATATCATATCAGAGTATATGTAACTTAGTTTTTCAAGTTACCTATCAGCTATTGCCAAAACCATTCCTGCATCTGTTTTTGGGATGACATCTCCAGAAAATCTAGGAAGTGTAATTTCCAGCAAAGCTTCTGCAATCTGCATCACAGGGGAATCGATAATTGTATAATAACAGAGCACATGCTAATATATATATACCATGGTAGGCTACTAGCTAAACTCTATTAGGCCAAAAAAGCAGCCACAAGGGTAAATTACGCAAATATACTCTTGAACAATCCATTACCTGTTCTGAATAGCCATCTCTGAGAGCATAATGACGAGCCATGATTCCTGACAGCGAAGTAAATTCTGTAACCACAGCAGTTGCAAGGTCTGACAGAGCAAGTGAGGCAGCATCTTTCACAGCCGGAAGCAAATCTTCATCAACTTCGAGGGCCAAACTAAGCTTAGT